ACCCGCCCCCCGGGACCTCCCTTGGGTCCACCCATGAATATAGCACGCGGAAAAGGGCATAACTTATCATGCCAACCTTTAATTGACTTGATTCCGAAGCCATCGTACAAAGGACTCATAGGGCTTTCAAACCTTACAAGCTCTATCGAAAATTTCAAAAAATTCTGTCCTGGATACAAATTTCAGGTAATAAGCTGATTTTTTTTTTTTTTTGTGTGTGCAAGTCTAACGTTTCGTAACTTCTTTAACAACTTTAATTATATTCATACTTAAACAAAATAACAATTTAAATTTTCACTTCAAGAGAAAAAACTTGGAAACCTGAAAGAAAGATAAACTAAAGTCTTTTAGAAATTAAACATAAGTTGTATAACTAGTAAGTACTAGAAACTCTTCAAATGTGACTAATTACACAATGAAGCACCTTCTCCCTTTAGATCCTCCACAATCCACTTAAATCCCACTTCCTCGACCATCCTTTAATTTGAAAATTTTGTTAACATAGAAGGTGTGAGCTTTAAGCTCAGTATGATTAATATCACACGGTGCACCCTTTTGGTCATAAACATAAAACATATATACAAATTGACAAGAAATAATTTAACATTTCATATAGATGAATACACGCAAATTCATGATTCCGAAGAATCCCTTGGAAGTCGTAGAAATTGGTTAACTTCAAAAATTCTAATACACATCACAGGCATATACAAATTTGGATTTGAGGAGATGTGTAGTGAAAAAGTGACTTTGTTCTTCTTGTAACCTCCCGTTTTAGTGAAAAACTAAATGGGAGAGTTATATTATCATTAACCTTATTAAATTAAGTCTTTAACTATAAATTTTAAGATTTTTAAGCCCATAAAAAATAATTCTATTAAAAGTTTTATAAAAAAATTACGTAATGAAAAATAGAGGCAAATGAACTATTCATATGATTTGTAACCTATTTCTATGAATGCCACTAATAAAATAATTATTTCATCCAATTAAATTGATATAATTGTTCTTAATGTACAAAATCAAGTGTTTTTAACTACAAATAATTTTATAAAAATATCTACATGGTGGTTCAAACCTAGGATGCCTATGTGAAATATCATGCATATGACCATTGTGGCAACTCAGTTATTAATTAAATTTTTGTAATCAAATTTAC